GTTATTAATAAGTGAAAAAATGAGAACAGTACATTCGAAGTGTAGGTGATACAAGAGAGAAAAGGAAGAACTGCTAAGAGTAACATCCTTGAATCGTTAAGGGGGGGGGGGCTTCCAGTGCATGAGTGGGGAATTTACACAGGCATGGAACGTTTAGCTATGTTTGATAGGAAAGAAAGCAGAGTATATGGGTAGAGACACTGGCAGGTGGGGAAATGTGTTGGTGGAGTCTGGAAGTTCCCTGTTGCTGCTTTTTTTTTTTTCACTGAGATACGAAGCAAGGTCAACAACTGAGTTCTGGCTGTACTTTGAAAATATATCAGGAATCCAAACACTTCCTCCCCACTTCAGTCATGAGCACCCTAGTCCAAGCTATTAATTCTCACCAAGATTTTTGCAAGTCTCCTTCTAGTTGATATCCTTGCTTCTGCCCCACTATAAATGTCTTATAAAACATAAGTCCAAACGTGTCACTCTGCTCCAACCCTCTGACGGCTTTCTGTCTTAGACAAAGTCAAAATTCTCCCCAGCTTCCTTCTACATCCTCACCTCCTTCTACCAGCCTCCTCACACACTCTGCACCTTTCACGGCAACCTCTTTGTTATCCCTTGAACACAACAGTCATGACCCTTACCTTTTCCCACTGCCTTGTATGTTTCCTGTGGTTCATTCATCTATCTTGCTCAGGTCTTTATTCAAATGTCCCGCTATTAGTATGGCTTCCTTTATCACACTACATAATATTGTAACTCCTGTCCCTTATATTCTTTATCCCCCTCCTTGCCCTATTTATCAACATTTATCTTATCAACATTTAATATACAGTATATTTTACTTGTTCATTCCATTTATTATCTGTTCTTTCCACTAGAATGTAAGTTCCATGCAGTCAGGGACTTGTGTCTTGGTGTTCACAATGGTTTCCCCAATGTCTAGAACATCACTAGGCACATATTTTTAGAAACTAGTGAATGAATGCCGAGAGCCTATGACTTGTCCTAGTCCCTTCGCAGGAGTGAGATGTTCCATCCACCTTAAATTTGGTTCCATTGTTGACAGTGAGGACACCACACATGCACCAAGAGGGTATAAAGAATGTTTATTACTCACACAACCTACCTTTGTGGAGAGAAGTAGGCTGGCTCCCAGTCTGGTCCAAAAATGGCTTGAGAGAGCAGGGAAATGATGGTGGCTTCAATCTGTTGTGTTAAAGGGCAGGGCTGGGGTGAAGATTACTGCGCACAGACTAGAGCTTCTTTTTTTTTAAACTTCTGCTAGTGACAAAGAGGGGAACACCTGTACTTTCCTATCAGTTTGCACAGATGTGGGGCAGAAGAGGAAAGGGAAGGGGCCAGCGCTGGGATGTAGCAGGTAAAGCCATCATTTGCAGTGCTGGCATTCCATATGAGCCCTGGTTCAAGTCCCATCTGTTCCACTTCTGATCCAGCACCTTGCTAATGTGCCTGGGAAAGCAGTGGAAGATGGCCCAAGTCCTTGGGCCCCTGTATCCACGTGAGAGACCTGGAAAAAGCTCCTGGCTCCTGACTTCAGCCTGACTCAGCCCTGGCCATTGCACCGTTGCAGCCATTTGGGGAGAGAACCAGCAGATAGAAGATCCTCTCTCTCTCTCTCTCTCTCTCTCTCTCTCTCTTTCTCTCTTTCTCTAACTCTGAGTTTCAAATAAGTAAATAAATCTTTTTTAAAACAAAAAGAATAAAAGGGAAGGGAAGAAGTGGGCTTGAATGTGGTCATCCAGAAAACATAAAAAACGGAGTCAGATTCTTCATTACAGGAATCATGGAAAGTTGGACCATTTAGATGTTGCATGTTTTTTAACTCTACTTCAGATCTGCAAGAGACCTTAGGACCATATTTTCCATATGAGTACTTCTGTCCAGTTCCACTATCTTGTCCTGTCTCTGTAGATCACAATGTAAGTTGGCTCATGCATTGGTTCCCCTATGGCAAGGCCAAGAGCTATACTGACTTAAAAACATCTCAAACAAATTTTTTTGCACTCTTTGATTCTCAGAACCCCTGTTCATCAAATTCTTAAAATAATATCTACTGTGTGCTTTGTCAGAGTGAGGGATTCGATGGAAGAATGTTTATAAAGTACCCATCGCTAGGGTTAGAATATGGTAACCTCTAGTGAAAAGTCATTTGTTCTCAGCATATTTAAAGGAGCACTTTAAAGTATAAAATAGGTAGCATGGGGTAGTCCTTTGACATAGTGAGTAAGATGCTGATTTAGATGTCCACATTCCCATAGTGGAGTGCCTGAGTTCAAGTTCTATTGCTGGCTCCTGGTTCCAACTTCCTATTAATGTGGACCCTGGGAGGCAGCAGGTAATGCCTCAGGTAGTTGGGCCCCTGCTACTCACATTAGAGACCTAGACTGAGTTCCTGGCTTCTGGCTTTGGCCCTGCCAACCTTGCCTGTTGCAGGCATTTGAAGAGTAAACAAGCAAATGAGAAATCGCTGCCTCTCTCTGTCTCTGTCCCCCCATCTCTCTGCCTCTCAAATAAATAAATAAATAGGTAGAATGCAATCACTTAATTTTTATGCACTAACCCAAGTGATGATTGTTACATTATTTTAAAAAAATTACTTTTATTATGAAAATTTTTAAATAAACAGAAAAGTGGAAAGATTGGCATAATAACACAAATACCCCTTCCATAAAACTAATGAATGTCAATATGTTACCTTCTTTGTCTAGCTATTTTTATTGCTGAATTATTTTTTTTTATTTATTTATTTTTTGACAGGCAGAATGGACAGTGAGAGAGAGAGAGACAGAGAGAAAGGTCTTCCTTTGCCGTTGGTTCACCCTCCAATGGCCGCCGCGGCCGGCACGCCGCGGCCAGCGCACCGCGCTGATCCGATGGCAGGAGCCAGGAGCCAGGTGCTTTTCCTGGTCTCCCATGGGGTGCAGGGCCCAAGCACCTGGGCCATCCTCCACTGCACTCCCTGGCCACAGCAGAGAGCTGGCCTGGAAGAGGGGCAACCGGGACAGAATCCGGCGCCCCGACCGGGACTAGAACCCGGTGTGCCGGCGCCGCTAGGCGGAGGATTAGCCTAGTGAGCCGCGGCGCCGGCCATTGCTGAATTATTTTTTAAGTTTTATTTTATTGATTTGAAAGGCAGAGTTACAAAAAGAGAAGAAGCAGAGAGAGAGAGAGAGAGATCTTCCACCTACTGGTTCACTCCCCCAATGGCTCCAGTGGCCAGTGCTTGGCAGACCAAAACCAGGAGCTTCATCCAGGTCTCCCACATGGGTACAGGGCCTCAAGCACTTGGGCCATCTTCTGCTGCTTTCCTAGGTGCATTAGTAGGGATCTGGATTGGAAGTGGAGCAGCCAGGACTTGAATCGGCACCCATATGGGATGCTGGTGTTTCAGGCAGTGACTTAACCTGCTATACCATACTGCCGGCCCCATTGCTAAAATTTTGTAAAAGTAAATTGCAACTATGGCATTTTATCCCATAACAGATCAGTTTGTGGCCTAGTGCTGTGGCATAGTGGGTAAAGCTGCTGGCTGCAGTGCTGGCATTCCATATGGGTGCCAGTTCAAGTCCCGGCTGCTCTACTTCCCATCCAGCTCTCTGCTATGGCCTGGGATAGCAGTAGAAGGTGGTCCAAGTGCTTGAGCCTCTTCGCATGGGAGACCAGGAAGAAGCTCCTGGCTCCTGGCTTCGGATCAGCCCACCTCCGGTCGTTGCAAGATGGAAGACCTCTCTCTCTCTGTCTCTCTCTCTCTCTCTCTCTCTCTCTCTGCCTCTCTGTAACTCTGCCTTTCAAAATAAATAAATTAATCTTTTAAAAAAAGAAAAGCTCTAAAAAATAAACTAGTATAATATAGACCTGTGACCTAAAAAATGTATCTTTTACTAAAAGAAGAATATTTGCATATATAGCTACAATACCATCACATCTAATAAAAATAATGATTACTTAATATTTGATTCCAGTCCATATTCAAATCACAGTATTCACATTGTGTTTAAATCTTTAGTGAGGTGTTTCATGAGATCTTGAGTTATAGTCCCTTTCATGGGTCTAAAACCTCTTACCCTTCAATTCACCATGCAATTAATGATTTCCTCCTTCATGGAAAAAAAGATACTAGTAAAATGAACCTGTCATGTAGTTCCCAGAAGATAAATTAGACACATTGCAAGGAGAAAAAAAGTAACACTTGCAGAATTCCTCAGATGTCTGTCTCTTGTAATTATGGTTATTTGCCTTTAACCATGTACTAGAGAAAGTCTGGCATTGCACTATCTCAAACAATATAGTAAAGTTCTGATTGAGTATCACCATTTCCTATAATTGTTCCCCAAAAGGGCTCTACTTGTGCTGAGAGTTTACCTGTGACTTGGAGGAGCCCCTCTGTGTGTCATGATCCTCAGATGAATGGAATGTGCTCTAAGGGCAGGGCAGGAGCCATCCTTACTTGCTCGGGTATCTGTAGTAATCTCACTTTGCCCAGAAGCTTGAAAAGCAGTGAGGGTAATGTGTGGGTGGTGTTTAGCTTTGTCTTGGTTGGAAGATCAAGCAGTAGCTGATTCTTAGTGACTTGATACCACCTGTCAATGCTTACTTTATCTTATTTTCAAGGTTTTTTTTTAAATCAAGGTATAATTTATATATAGTTAAATAGACAGAATTTAAGAATACAGTTGAGTTGATGTTGACAAATGTGTATATATTTTAAAGAATCAAAACTAAACATAGCCTCCAAAAAGGAACAATGCCTCATTAGTGCCAGGTTCTCCCAGTACAAGAGAATGGAGAAACATGGCTGAAGGAGAGTTAAGTGCAATGTTATATTTTCTTCCTTCAACTCCCAAATTTGCATTGCCTGGGAATCACTTACCAAAGAGGTTGGAGAACTTCAAAGATTGTGACTTTTCAATTGACGTGGAGCTTATTCTTTGTACTTTTCTTTGCCACTTTAGTTTTTTGTTTTTAATCTTTTTTCCTTTTTGCAGGCTTTGCACTTCTGGGAGGACATCCTTGTTTTCTTACTACACAAGATATTCATTTGGGTGTGAATGAAAGTCTCACAGACACCGCCCGGTAAGTAATCTTTTCTTCCCTGTATAGCTTATTTTAGAATATGGTGGATAGGAGCCAGCACTGTGGCTTAGCAAGTAAAGCCGCTGCCTGTAGCACCAAGCATCCCATATGGGCACTAGTTCGCGTCCCAGCTTCTCCACTTCCAATCCAGCTCTCTGCTATGGCCTGGGAAAGCAGTAGAAGATGGCCCAAGTCCTTGGGCCCTGCACCTGCATGGGAGACGTGGAAGAAGCTCCTGGCTCCTGGCTCAGATCCACCCAGCTCTGCCCATTGCAGCCAATTGGATAGTGAACCAGCAGATGGAAGATCTCTCTCTCTCTCTCTCTCTCTCTCTCTGCAAATACATCTTTAAAAAAATAATATCATAGATAAATTTTCAAAAGAAAATACTCATCTATTTCTCTTTAAATAATTGTTTTCCCTATCCGATTCCTGTGTCAATTCTGTGTTTTCCCTCTTTCCCTGATATTCTGAATGACTCTTCCTTATCCTCTGGCCACTTTCCATTGGTTAAGATATTTTTTCTTATCAATTTTTAAAAATTTTAATTTATTTGTTTGAGAGGCAGACAGAGTTCCTACCTGCTGGTCTATTCCCCAAATGTCTGCAACAGCCAGGTCTGGGGCCAAAGTCAGAAGCCAGGAACACAATGCAGGTCTCCCACCTGGGTGGCAGAATCCCAACTGTTTGAGCCATCACCATCATATCCCACAGTCTGTACTAGCAGGAACATGGAGTCAACAACCAGAGCCAGGAATCAAACCCAGGTACTCTGTTGTAGGATGTGAGGATTGTAACCACTAGGCTAAATACCTGTTCCTCTTAGCGACTTTTTAAAAGAGCCTCTGGGACTGGCACTGTGGTGTAGCGGGTAAAGCCACCGCCTGTAGTGCTGGCATACTATATGGGTGCTGGTTCAAGTCCCAGCTGCTCCACTTCCAACCCAACTTTCTGCTAAGGCCTGGGAAAGCAGTAGAAGATGGCCCAAGTCCTTTGGCCCCTGAACCCACATGGGAGACCCAGAAGAAGCTCCTGACTTCGCACCAGCTCAGCTCTGGCTGTTGCGGCCATCTGGGGAGTGAACCAGTGGATAGAAGATCTTTCTCTCTCTCTCTCTCTCTTGTTCTCACTCTCGCTCTCTCCCGCTCTCTCCGCCTCTGCCTCTCTGTAACTCTGTCTTTCAAATAAATCTTAAAAAAAATGAAAGAGGCTTTTTAAAAATTAATTTGCATGCATTTCATAAATACAACTTTAGGAACATAGTAATTCTTCCCACCATACCCGCCCTCCCACTCACATTCCCACCCCTCTTCCTCCTCCCTCTCCTATTCCCAATCTTATTTTTTATGAAGATCTATTTTCTTTTCTTTTTTTAAAAAAATATTTTATTTATTTATGTGAGAGGTGGAGTTACAGACAGTGAGAGGGAGAGACAGAGAGAAAGGTTTTCCATCCATTGGTTCACTCCCCAGATGGCTGCAACAGCCAGAGCAGAGGGGAGCTGAGCTGATCTGAAGTCAGGATCCAGGAGCATCTTCCGGGTCTCTCACATGGGTTCAGGGACCCAAGTGCCATCTTCCACTGCTTTCCCAGGCCACAGCAGAGAGCTGGATCAGAAGAAGAGCAGCCAGGACTAGAACTGGCTCCCATATAGGATGCCGGTGCTGCAGGCGGAGGATTAGCCTACTGTGCCACAGCGCCAGGCACACTAAGATCTATTTTCAATAACACAGAAAATTAGCTCTATTCTAGATAAAGAGTTCAACACTTTGTATCAGAAAGAAAAAGAAAAAAAGAAAAAAAACTGTTCTTCAACAGTGCAGATAAAGGCTGTTCAGTCATTGCATCTCAGAGTTAATTTTGCTTCTAAAAGAGGCTTCTGATAATAAAATTTCAGATTCCACGAAACCTAGAAATCATCAAGCATGACTCTTAAATTTAACAGTTAAGGCAATAGAGGTCTGGAGAAACACACAGGTTCAATGATGCCCAACTGGTTAGTACCAGAGTAGATAACAATATCAGTGGCTGACATTTACTGAGCATTTTTGTGTGTCAAGCATTGTTCTAATTCAACAACCCAAACAGATTGCCATAAAATTGGTTAAACAACTTAATTAGTAACATATTAGCTGCCATCCAACAGAATCTTGAATTTCATTGCCTTAATGTAGTGCACATGTTCCTGATTGGTAAGAACGAGAAATTATTAAGTTATGTGGTCAGTTAGAGACTCTGGCTAAGAACGGCTCTTCCGTCTTTAACACGTGGCCTCCAAGACCAGAGTGGATGTCAATATGCAGCCAGGACCTCGACAAAAGAGAGCGTGGAGAAGGCATACTTGTTTCAAAGCCACCTTAGCAGGGAAGCGGGGCAGTCACTTCCATTCACATTGCATTGGCAAGGACTGGTAGGTCACCCTCACACAGATGAAAGGAGATGTGGGGAAAGCTCTTGCCTACTGTATTACAGTGAAAGAGTGAAACAGGCCTTCTAACTCCCTGTGCGACACTCTCACCACTCTAGCGTGCCTGGCTAAGAAATCCAGAGCAAATGTCTTTTGTTAAATGTTTTTCCCTCAGTGGAGAGAACTAATGATTATTTTTTCTGAAAATGATATGCCACAAAGTAACCCCTAGCAGATACTGTCTGTTTTTCATGGCAACTATCCGAGTACATACGAAAGAATTCACCTCATTTGACTTGCTGAAGAGATTTCAAATAACTCATCTTTAAACTGTTCAGTGGTTATTTCAGAAGCGACAGTGATAATATTAAGAAGAACTGTGGTTATCTTTTGGAAGCTAGTGACAAAAAATAAATGAATATAAATGAGTTTTTCTTTCAAATGCACTGCCACTGACTGGGGTTATATTTGCCTAATAATTCTACTTCTACAAATAATTCTACTACTTTATTCAAAAAGCAGATATTGCAAGCAGGTTAAGGGATGAAACTGGAAGCCAGAGACACATCCAGGAAAGACCTTTCAGTGGGGATTTTTCATATAGGACCAGTGCATGATGGTGAATGAGTCAAATGTTAACTAGTGTTTAGAAAAGGGTCCAGTTGGAGGAGCAACTGAGAATCTAAGAAAAAGTTAAGTAGTACAGATTGGCAGACTGAAAGAGGCTTAGACCCAGAAGTCAGGACCCCAAAAGCAAGGGAAAAATAGCCAAGCATGGATTGAAAGCAGAGGATAAGTATAGCATGCTCTTTTCTGTGCTTGCACTCCACAGTTCTCACAGAAATTCTTCATTAGACGAATTCTATATAGATCTCATGCTCAGAAATTGCAAAACAATTGGGACCTTTTGAGTACATGTAATTATTTCCATTGCTACATGAATATATGGATCTGAAAATTAAATCATTTCATTTATCCAAAAACTAAATGAAAATAATAGCTACTCCTTAAAGGGGGTCTCCTATGGACTCTTCTTGTGCCAAATCTTCAAAAATCTTGCAAAATGAGGATTATTGACCTAGTTGTATAGATGAGAAGACCATGTCTTTGAGAGGAAGCAGAAGTTAGAAACTGAGTAAGTCAAAGTTTAAATCACACTGTCTTTTTTAAAAGGTCCTGCTGTTTTGATTAACCCCTAATGCTTCTTTTATTCGGCCCAGGAGAGAGGCAGTGAAAGAAGTTGTGGAAAGTATTGGTTTGTGTTTCAGAAGGTCTCCAAGATGATTGACTAGGAGGACTGTGAGGACTCAGCATCTAGTCACAGGCATGGCTTCAATTTGTTACAATGGAAGTAAACTAAGCACAGTCAACAAAGGTAAAAGCACAGGTGGCGAGGTCCAGGAGCAGCCAGGTGCAAGCTTCCAGAAGTCCTTACCTAGTGATGTCATACAAGACATGTTTGATTCCCTTGGTAATGAATTTTGGTAACACCTATGAAGTGTTGTCAGCAAAGATAGTTTGTTAGAGGTTCAGTGCCCATGGTCTTTATTGGGACTGGTCACATTGGCACTCCCTGCCTGGCATGTACCCAAATTCCTGACTCTGAAAAGGAAAGCAAATGTTTACCTTAAACCATATTATTTGTAAAAATAAAATAAATAAACTAAAATGATGCGGTCAGCCCCTGTTTTCAATACTAGGAATAGAAGAAGCACTCCCCAAATTGAACTTCCTAGATGACATCCAAGAGCCAATCATGCACGCAGACATTTCAAAGTATAGCAGCCGGGCTTGCTGTTTTAGCTCTCTTCTGCATGGCTTGGGAATCAGGAATCTGGAGACCTAATACCAGCTCTGCCAGTTACCTACCCTGTAACCTTCATAGGGGAAAATATTTCTGGATCTTAGTTTCCTTTTCTAGGAAATGAAGGAGTTCTGACCCTTAAGGTCCACTTTATATCCTCAAATTCATGCAGATGTATCAGATATAAAGTGGTAGTCCTTACAGAGTTGTGTCCCAGTACAAACTATGTGTGGGCAGAAGCAGAATAATTTGAATCAGAGTAAAGATGGGAAGTAGAGAGGTTAATTCCAGGGATTCTAAAACATACTTTTGGAATTATATTGGGGAACTTGTTAAGATGCAGAATTCTGAGCCCCACACTCAGATATTTTAGCTCTGCAGATTAAGGTTCACATAGTGTCTGGGAATCTGCATTTTAACAAATTTCCCAAATGAATATTACACAAGAGTGACTGGACCATACTTTGAGAGAGCCTGAGTTAGGAGTTGGTGTAGAAGACCTGGGCTGTTGTGCTATGTATCTAGGCTAAGGCAATAGCAAAGGGATGGTAAAGATGCCTAATAAGTGATTTATGTGGTTTCATGATAGCTGATTGTCAAGGGTGAATAGATAGTGGAGGTAAAAAAATATATATATATATATATATTTGAGAGTAACAAATCTGGACTCATTATATATTCTACAAATCTGGAAATATATATAATATATAAAACTATGTAATAAGTTCTATTTATTAAATATATATCATATATTCAGGAAAGTGAAATGAGTTTATGCTTTGAGAAGAA